CAGGTGGATGGGGGCAGTATAAAGACGGCGCCGCGCATGACGGTGGTACGCACGATCACGTAATTCCAAAAGGCAAGACAAACATCATTATTCAACCGGCCGGTCTGCACGCACACGTTCTAAGCGGCAAAAGCGGATCTGTAGGAAAAAGACAAGCGTTTAGTATTATGCCACCCTTTCAAACCGTCGATTACATCATTTTCGCCGGACAGTGAACAGACTTATTTTCTCTTTTTGAATGATATATAATATGTTCTTTTAAGATTTGAATATTTTGGAAAACCATTTTAAAATGGAAAGAAATTCTAAAATGACATTTTTTAACCATAGAAATGGATGAAAACCTCAATACTCAGGTTTTGATGCACGTCAGAGATTTATCGACAAAAACCTTGTCCCACAATTCAGTACCGAGATCCTGCTTATGTTATTATATGAATTTACATATAAAATGCGCATCCAACCGTCAGTATCAAATAGTGAAACTGGACATTGCCGTAAAAAGTGAGTTGGTTTCATTTTTGCACCTTCCTCAATACATTCAAATCAATATTATTCTGAAATAGATGAGGGTGTGGGTGTTAGCCTTCTCTTCAGCCACAGTCACAGTCACAGCCGTACCCACACCCACACCCGCGTGGGTGTGGAGTGTGAGTGTCGGTATGAATGGATGTGGGTGTGGATGCGGTTATGGGTGTCTGCTGCTCTTCTATTTATCCACACTCACACCCATCCACACCCACACCCTATCTGTTGCTAATGTGGATGATAAATATTGTCTTTTAGATTTTTTTCTTTCATAATTAATATCATAAGAATCTGTGTATATAAACGATACCAAAATGAACAAAAAACAATCACTTGAAAGACTAAAAGTCATAATTATAATAGTAGCTTCAATAATGGCCACTTTTCTTTCTTGTACAAAAAATATTGTTACACTCACACCTAAAAAGAATGAAAGATACATAAATAATTTCCTTAGGTATTTATTTTTTTGTTTTTCCTTGTTTAAAAAGTCATTTACTAAGAGCAAAAGTAATTGTAATTAATGCATGGAATGCAATAAAAAATATCCTGCTTTAAGAAAAACTACTAATAATGCAATACCAAGTAATGCAATACATAAAGAAATAAAAAGCATTAAGGGTACCCCCCCCCCCCCTCTTTTTTGACCATTTCTAGATCTCGAAGATGGTAAGGCTGATCAAAATGAAATTTTTACCACAAATAGAACACCTAAAATGATGAGACACGTGTTCGAGGAAAAAATTCTCTAAGGCGGTTTTCATGGTTTTTTATGTAAAACCTTGGTTTTCCTAGGTTCTCATCTTGCCAAGGGCAACCCCTTTCTAACTTCGTCCGATTGGGCTGAAAATTTTTTTTATGGATAGCTACGACTATATCTCAGAGGTAGTTTTGCGCGTTTTCAAAAATCTCACTTTCTTTTTTTTTTATAAAAAAAATACGTAAAGGTTTTTTTGCCAGAACCAGGTTTTTGACCTTGCGAACCCTATAAACCCGGATGGAAGCATCAGAAATTAAAACGGTCAAAACTACCTCTGGAGAATACTTCAAAGTATCTAGGATAAAATTTTCAGCCCAATCGGACGAAGTTAGAAAGGGGTTGCCCTTGGCAAGATGAGAACCTAGGAAAACCAAGGTTTTACATAAAAAACCATGAAAACCGCCTCAGAGAATTTTTTCCTCGAATACGTGTCTCATCATTTTAGGTGTTCTATTTGTGGTGAAAATTTCATTTCGATCGGCCTTACCATCTTCGAGATCTAGAAATGGTCAAAAAAGAGGGGGTACCCTTAAGGAATTCACGTTGAATACTATAAAATACATACCATGGTGAAGAAAGAGTCATGCATATTGTTTTATATATGAACCAAAGAAACTTTTTCCTTTGAAATATTATTGATTTTATGAATCACAATCAATACGATTGAGAGCATCTAAAATAATTAAATAAAATTTTTCTTATCATTGAATACAAAAGTTTGTTTATCATGTCAGGAGATCTATTTTGAAGAATTCTAATGATAAAACTTCAAGTGTAATGTAAATTAAATATCTTTCATTTGTAAGAGTTTTCCAATATCTGAACCATATCGATGAGAATTTGGATTCTAAAAGAAAGGGTGTGGGCGTGGGTGTGTGGCTATGCATCAGTGAGACACCAACACTCACACCCCATACCTTACACTCACACCACACCCCGGGGGAAGGAGCTTTAGAGGTTTCGTAGAACTGAAGAATTATTTTTCTTATCTTTGGGTGAAATTGGACGCTTTTTCAAATCTCCTTTACCTTTTTCGGTAGGTTGGTAAAAACATTGATGCTTTTTAGTGTATATGCAAATAAACCTACTTCTCATGACAAACGGCAAAGAGAAAATGTGCGCATCAAGCAATCTCTGTTTTTTCTCTGTGGATTATTCGAACAACATAAAAACACGCTGCACATCTTGACTCACGTCTGATGATTCAAAAGAACGACAAGAGAAGATAAGCAGAATCAACTTGAGGTGATTCAACAGTATTGCATCACGATCAATGCGGAATGTGAAAATGTTGAGTCAAGATTACAGCTGAATGTCGTTAGAAATTTTCTTGACTGACTATAAAATAGGCTGCATCGAAGCATAGTTAGATTATTTTGCACATATGAAGAGGAGCATGAGTAACAATTCTTTAGCTACATCAAGTATAGAATTATTACCCAATGAAATATTATTGGACATCTTTTCGTATTTGTCATCACTGGATCTCCACACTGGTTTTTATCTGTTGAATCGTCGTTTCACGTCACTTCTACACAAAACTGATGTTAAATGTAATGTGAACAAGGATTTCTTACTGGACATAAAATGTGCTTATTTTTTCGCCTCTAGAACTATTTGCCTTACGTTATATGAATGTAAACGCATCGATATGACTAAGTTTTCTCGCGTGCAGTCGTTAATTTTATACAATCCTGGCAGAGAACTGGTACAGAAGATTCATCCAGAATTCTTTCCGCATCTCAAATACTTGACTATCAACAGTGTTCATCGTACCATTGTTCAATGGTGAACTCTATTTCATAATTATGTTTTTTCGAACGGCTTTCCGCATTTATATAAAGCTTGTTTAGTTTCTGTTTGTCTTCCATCAAAAATCAAAACATGGACTGGCAGTTCATCAATTCGAGAACTAGAAATTCGTTGGATTAATCGACCTCGTTTTCTTGGAGCAGTTCTTTTTGCCTGTCCAAATTTATACAAATTCAAACTAATCATAGATCATTTGTATTCGGTTAAAATGTGGTATTACATTAATGACAATTTGATTTCAGTTGACGAGAACGTCATTCCAAATAATATCGATATGCATTGTGCACTTCGAAATCTAGAAATTGAATGCGTGAACTCAGCGGGCTTATTCGATTTCATAGGGTCACTACTTCGATGCGTGCCTAATTTGGAGCAACTTCGAATTAAAATATGCACTTTTGAAAAAATTTTGATTTCGTGTCACACAATTGCGCACTTACTACAAGATTATTTATCGGCATTGAAGTATTTTTATTGCACAATGCCTCGAACCTATGTGTTCCCGTCGGCTCTGAATCAAACACTACACGGCGATATTCATAGCATACATCCTCTCTTTACAAACGTGAAACTGCAAAATGATGGATATGTCACTATCAGCTCAGTATAAAAACCGAATCTAGATTTATACATGAGACACAGGCGGATGCTTGAAAGATTGGAATAAATTGAATATAAATATATTGGAGCAGTGCAAATGATACTATGGCTTTCGTCTTTTCCTCGAAATTTGCGATAAATTGCTCTGCCTATTTGTGATGTTACATGAACGAGTCAGCTGCCATTTTTCACTCTGCTACAAAGTTTTATCCAATAGTGTTATCATAAAGCGGGTGGGTATGGGTATGAGTATGGATCGATACGAATGTCGGTCGTCTCTCAATTCCTACCCATATCCACACCCACACTCTACCCTGGTCAAATAACCACGGTTGTAAACACTTCATATTTCATTGTTTTGGTATCAATCATATTACAACTGTGTATCACCGTGCGTAGGTCGGTGTGGGTATCGGAATGAGAGTGTATCTTTTTTTCATTCGCATCTGTCCACACGCATAACCACATCCACAAAGTCACACTTGCACGCATATCCTATAGTGGCATCTGGAACGAGCTACTGCTCTTCTACTGTTGCAATGTCAACATGTATTTTCCTTCATGAAAATTAGATGATGGCATCGCGCATTAAAAAGTACGATACAATCCCAATGAATATCAGTGCCAATATATGCCAGCGTTCACACGTGCATAAAAAAGGGCAGCAACTCCCACTGCTCTCACATGTAATGGGTTTGTAAAATAGGCCCATCCAAACTAAAAAACATACGAAACAAGAAGGACTTCTGCATTTGTTAGGTTATAATAACAAATCGAATATTAAATGTTTTCGAAAAAAAAAGGAAGGTTACAACTTTATTTCAGTTAAGGAAAACCCTTCAATTGGCTTATTTTGAGACGTTTCGATCAATATCTGATAAGCAATCTCTCATAACTATGGTATAACTCTTTGGTAACAAAGCAGGTCTTAGTGTCGAATGTTCGTTTTCTTTTTGACACTCAATTCCACCTTTATTATTTCGCTTTGCTTCAAATATCTTTAAGAATACATCGTAAATTTATAGTGTCAATTTATGAGTTTCACACATCAGCATCTCATAGGATCGCATCGTTTTCCAAGTCGATTCGATTTTTGATCAGCTACTTTCTTTTCTTGATTGTTATAGGTTTGAATATAAACAATTGAGATATATAATAAGAAAAAACAGTTGTATTAGCTAAAAGCTTGAAACATTGACAACATAGGTAAACAGATACATGCATCATCACAACTTTTTATCGTACATGAAGAAAAAAATCAGTTATAAAATACAAGCGAAAAAAACGATTGACATTCAAATTATTCATCGTCACTTAATAACCTATCTCTCCTACTACCTTGTTGATATTGTCTTATCATCGATGATAAACCCGATGTACCACCTAATTATTTAATAGATGAACCGATAAGTAAAAACAAAGTAGAAAAACGTACCCATATGATTTAATATTCTTGAATCAACTAATTTACTCATTTGACTTGTTAATTTTTGTATGTTTGTTGAATTAATATTTTTCTTCATATTGCCAAACTCAGATAAACCTTTCATACTCTGCATTTGTATCATCGCTTTTGAAAATTTCGAATATTGCGATATTAAGTCTTCTACATCACGTACTGATACACCGGCACCACGTGCTACTCGAGTATAGCGACTAGATTGGCTTATAAAAAGCTTTGCTCCATCAAAATGATCAAGTTCTTCAACATATTTTATTCGAAACTTTAAAAAAATCATTTTTTGAACAAAACTTCTACTTACCATTTTCATTCATACTGTCCATGATACACATGAATTTTTTTAAACGGGCTTGTGATTCTCGTTCATCACTCTTTGACATAAATTCTGTGCCAAAGCCAGGAATCATACTCTATTTAATAGAAATAAATCCAGTTACTTTAATTAATAGATATTATTTTCAAACTAACCATAACTTGTCCAAGTGGACCCATTTTCACAATATTTTGAAATTGTTCATACATATTTCGCAATGTAAATTGACCTAAATAAGCGTATACTGTATATTTAATCATTATTCGTATTTTATAACAATTGTTCGATCTTCTCGAAAGTATTCTCTGTAATATTTTCTGTTGTGGACTAAAACAAAGTACTTGTATAAGTATTTATAAAATATTTCTTGAAAAGCTACATACGATTGTTTTGCGTAATCTTATGGTTATCAACGGATCTTTCCAAGATTAAGGAAGTCAGTTATTCTCTGCATTTGCATCGAATCACAAAACTTTCTGTATATTCTTCATTGAATCAATCATTTAGAACACTAAATATTCTTGCTCTTTTACAACAACTCACAATTACAAATAATCAAAATACTCTAATGATTATCTATATTGTCCGTAGTACTTCCATACAGATCAGAAATAAATAAAATACTCTCTCTAAAAAGCTTTGAATGTATTCATTATTTAATTTACCGTGTTTTGCATTTATAATAAATGGTTTATCGTGTTCCGAATGCAAACTAATGATTTTATCATGTAAACCTGACATATCACCCATACCCAATAATTTATTAATAAATGGTTTCGTTTTAAATACTTCAAAGTCATCAATATGTTCACCTGTACCAATAAATATAATTGGACTTTTTGTTGCAGCAACCCTAACATAGTCAATCATTATATGTCGTTAGATCTATGTTAAATAAAATAACATACGCGCTAAGAGCTCCACCACCTTTAGCATGACCATCAAGTTTAGTAACAATAACTGAGCCGATATCAACTTTTGATTTGAATGCTTGCGCCTTAAAATTACAAATATCAATGAAGCAAGCAAAAAAAAACAAGTGCATACATGTAATTCGCAAGCTTGACCAATACTAGCATCCATTACGAAAATGATATTATCCGGTTTCTGCATAAGAAAATGAAAACAGAAATAAAATGCATGTAAATTTAATCTTACGATGCTATTTGAAATTTCCAGCATCTCTTCGAATAATGATTGTTCTTGTGCATGTCGACCACTTGTGTCAACAATAATTAATTCAAACTTATCTTTACGAAATATTTCAACACCATTCATAGCAACTACTACTGGATCACTTTCTGTATAACTATATTAAAAATGAGAACTTAATTCTTTCATGAAAAGAATTTCAACAGCTGTAGACAAAAAAGACTTACCTGCCATAAAATGGTATTCGTGCTTTTGTTGCATTTTGTTGTAATTGATCAAAAGCACCAGCACGAAATGTATCAGCACATACTAAAGCTGTTTTCCAACCACGTTTCATATAATGATAAGCATACTAAAAAAAAACAAATAAGAAACTGAAATTCATAGAAACATGAAGTCTTACTTTTGTACATGTTGTTGTTTTTCCACTACCTTGTAAACCAACAAACATAACAATATTAGATTTTTTTTTAACTGGTTCCCATGATTTAACTTCAGAATCAATTAACTATGAACAACACAGAAAATAAACAAGATTATTTCTTTTTGCGATCAATTTATTTTGACATACTCGAACAAGCTCTGTAACAACAACTTGTTGAATTAATTGACGTTTATTTAGACCAACAGCTATTTCTTCTAAATTTATTGCTTGTCTATTCAAATAGAAAAAGCATATAGTTATTAAAGTAACCTAACAAGTAACTCTTGAATTATATTTGATTGTGTAAAAAAATGACAATAATCGCAACATGCAATATCGAAAGTGATTCTCTCTTTTATATAACTTCTGAAACGTAAGTCTTCCGAAATATTAAATATGTCAGCATTAATTTAAAAGTAAAAAATTCGTAAAAACAAAGTTCCCTCTATTTATAATGATGATCATTGCGCGATAAATATTATGATCTTCAATTATACCTAGGATCAATAAAAGAATTAAATTAAACTTTTGTTTTACATTTTAAGATTTGTTAAGTCTATTTTGAAATATTTTATAATATGAATTGTCTTACTTAGCGTTTTCACGTAATCTTTTAACTAAACGAATATTGACATCAGCTTCTAATAGAGCTCGACAAATTTTTCCCAAGGTTTCATCGAAAACTGGTTCATTGATAATTGTTGCCTTGCTTAAATGTTGTAATGCTGATGACAGACGTTGACTAAGATCAGCGAGGACCATGTTTTATTTAACTAGAAAAGACATAAAATCATACATACTTTCGTTTATTTGAAAATATGATAAATTCATCTTCTAATACGAAAGCAACAAATAAATTCAACGAGCAATTACATGACAAAAAAATTATTATATAATTTGACTTTCAGCTAGCTTTGTTCCAGTTATTCATCAGTCGTTACTATATTTTTCAGTCAACATATAATAAAACATAAAACTTTTTCTTTCAATTTTCATTTTCCTATTAAAATATTAAATTAAATGGTGCTACAATCTTTGTTATCTATATGCTAGACAAGTTTAATTATGTAAATTCGAAATCAATACTATTTATCGTTAATCTCAAATAAGAAGATCTGGAGTAAAATCAGTCATAGATTTTTGTTTGATCGTGTCGAATCTTAATCCACTTTTGTACATGATCATGTGAAACATAGTATGCAAAACTTAATGTGAGAAATTTTATGGAAATTAAAGTTCTATTGACAATCTTACAATACTATATATTATCTCAAATGATGAGATACTTTTTTTTCAGAAAACTTGATTTTTCACTATATTTGGAGCAAGATTCTTCTGTTTTTCATGCATAATTATTCACTTTCCCGACATCAGTATCAAATCACACACATATTGTTAGAACAAGCACAACAACATCTATTTTTTTGATACGATTTTCAATGAAGATAAATATATTTGACAATAAAATCTATTTCCAACAAGGGCATGTTTCCCAAGTACATTTAGTACAATGATAAGATTAAAAATTATCATGGTTTTTTCCAAATATAGTACTAGAGAACTCATCAAAACCTATACAGACTCAAGTGATTTTAAATCTTTTTACTAGTATAGCTCAAAGTCAATGAGAGTAGAATATTTAAACACCGATGTTATACGCGTTCCTTGAAGAAATGCTTACATGATTTTATCGAAAAAGTTACTGCCAGACAATGACATTATAGAAAATACAATAGAGAAAAAATGCTCTACAGAGTGACATATTTTTAGACGTATCTTGCTGTCGTCCTATTGGTTTAAATTATAAATAAGAGAAAGAAGAAAACTGAAAAGCTAGTTAGTTTGGGGAAGGACGTGACAATTGACAGAATGCCCTTAGAAAGATCATCATACATATATACGTCGGTTAGTCAGTCTAACATTCATATAGTGATAAAAACTCGAAATAAAGTTTTATCTTTTGTTTCTGCTGAATCAAGGAATACAACAACATACAGATGTGTTCGGATACTTTTTGATATGATTGTAACCGCGAATAATCATGCAAGATCGAACTATATATGTAAACTATGTTTGCTCGTCATCGTACAACACCTTCGCGCTGTCCAAACATCTAACTAGCTTTAGAATGTGAAATGAGAAGCCTAGTTCGATGAAGTCTATGTCATGCGATTAATTATGATCAGGACAAAATAACATACTTAAATATTGAATGCAGGAAGTATTTCACCAGGAATATTATTCTGTTTGATATAATGATTCTTTTGAACTGTAATAATGCTAATGATGAATTTAAGGAGGAAAAAATGTTGGTATTTATACTGTAAGGAAAGGGAAGAAATGAGTAGATGATGCAAACTGCCAACATGCACCAATCCTATATGAAAGATTATGTTACTGTTAATTGCCATCAAAAATTTTAATTTATTTTAAAATATTAAGGCAAAGTTAGAAATTGTCTTCTGAAATTAAAAAAAATAATAAGATACAAATTATCACGAAAGTTTAACTATTAGCGCCACGCATGTGTTATTTCGAAATTCTAGGTAATCCTGAGTCATTCGAAGTTGAAAACAGAGAACGTCACAGGGTGTGGGGTGTGGGTGTAGGTGTGATTAGAGACATGACCAGTATACACACCCTGTACTCTGTCAGATAAGTTGCCTTATAATTATATTTTGTAAGGATGTAGAAGTCATTTATTTTTGAAGGAATATTTATCTACTAGTAAATTTCAGAACGAATAAAAGTCTTAATCGACATCATTAAGAAGCTGCTCTGTAAACTATCCTGTGTAATTGCTAGTCATTTTCTCTCGGCATGTTTAACTTCAAATATCTATGCAAACTGAAGAAATTCAACTATTTAGTTGAAATAAGTGCGTCTTGAATAATTATCTACTGAATTGTTCGAAAAACAATTATTCAATCACTTTTCGTTCACAAAGGTTTTAGTGACGATAGTACACATCAAGCATTTTTTAGATGATCATTTTCAAATGTAGATAATGGATAAGATGAGTTCTTTTTTTCGTCTTAAAACACAATAA